ATATATATATATATATATATATATAAAGGGGCATGGGTCAGTCTTTACACGTCCCGTTTACCCTGAATTAGCAGCTCTAAAAACGACATTGTTGTTTCGGTGGTAAAGTGCAAGGTGTGCCTGAAGGAGAAAATGTCTTTTTTATTTTATCGCTTTACAGCGTACTTCAATGGGACAGTACACGCATCAGGCTTCGATGTATGTTTTAAATTTTATTTTAAACAACGTCGGAGTTCCTTTGCATCTGTTTTATACAACGTTTGGTTGCCGGAAGCTAAATATGTGCCTTTTAGGTTTTATATCAACGCAAATATTTATGGTCGAAAAATATTCAATGTTATTATTAGTTGTTGTTTTTTTTCATTCAAAAGCAAGCTAGCCCAGAATTATTTCAGGGCAGCATATAATTTTCCAATATATGGACAATTGCCAATAAATACAATATTTCTATATATTCAATATTTTTGAATTTATTTGCTGAGAAATTGAAAGGTGGTGAAAAAGTATAATATTGTACTCACGAGAATTTTCCCTTTTTTGCAAAGAAAGTAGAGAAGCTGAAAATTATTTTAGGGCAATGTATTTCCTTGCATGTATTTTGTTAAACATTCGGTTGATAGAAACAAAAATTTGTTTAGTTTGCAATTTATTGCAACGCAAAAATTGATGATCAAAAAACAAAATTTGGATTATTTATATTCGTTTTTTTGCAATAAGAACGAAGATAGCCCGAAAGTATTTGAGGATGGCATTTTATTTGCCAATATGTGTAAAGATGTATATACCTTGTTTCCATAAGCTCAGTATTTTTGAGTTTATTAACTGAGTAATAGAATGGTGGTAAAAAGTCAAATATCGTTCTTACGAGAATTTTACGTTTTTTAGATAGAAAGGAGAGAAGCCCAAAATATATTTGGGTAAATGTTATATTCTTTTGCTTTATACAATATTGGGTTGACGGAAGCTAAAACTGTGCAGTTTAGAATTTATAGCAACGCAAATTTTGAAGTTCGAAAAAGTTTGTAATTGTTGTGATTAATATATTTTTTTGAATAAGGAAGAAGCTAGCGCAGAATTATTTGAGCCCAAAATTATTATTGGGTATTGTCGAATTCTTTTAGTTAAGTTTTATTCTATATTTGATTGTTGCAACCGCAATTCGAGAATTGTAGGTTTATAACAACGCTTATTATGAAGATTAAAACGGGACTGTTTTAATTATTTTCCCCTTTTATCTAAGAACAAATTGGCAGGCTCCAAACTATTTCTGAGGCACATCTTATTTGATAATATGTGTACAATTATTAGTAAATACCTTCTCTATGGGGTTTTATCCAGCCAACAGCCGGTTTCCCTTCACGTTCCGATGGGACGCTTATTCGATTGTACACTAGCAACCAATACACTTGCAGGCTCTCCTGACCTGTGGTTAGCAGATCACCAGTACCTCCACGCCATCACATACAGTTCATGTGAGGCAAAGGATAAACAACCATGCCAAAGGGGCTACTCGAACACGCGACCCATCTGACCGAAGCGCTGAGCCGGTTCACGTTCTTAGCCACCTCGGTCATACAGTTCGGTAAATATCTTATTTACATTTGTTAAATATGTTGGAGTTAATTAATTGACGAATGCAAAATTAAGAAAAATATATGATGTTTTGTCTGTAGATTTTTCGTTATTTGGAAAGAATGTAATAATCGCGTAATATTTTTCCACATATCGAGTTAAAATTATTGTACACATTCCTCCTGTATCTTGGAGTTTGTATGATGAAAAATTATTAAGCAATAATTCTTAAAGTACCTGAGATTTTGCCATTGCTTCTAATGGATAGAATTGCGAGAGAAAATTGTTTCCTAAGCTGCTGTATGCGTTTTAAAATATTAAGGGCTGTTTGAAACAAATACCATGTAGTTTGGATTTTATACTTGCCTTTATTCTCTTTCTATTTTTTTTTAAATTTTGTTAAATGTGATATTGAAATTACCATTGTATGTTTATATAACTATTTTATCCTTCTTTAATAATGAAAAATTACCTTGATGAAAAAACAAACTTTCTTAAAGTGAGACCGTACTCGAAAAATTTGTATAAGAATGAATCAAAATTATTATTTTAAAGCTCTATATTGATCTGCAACGTAGCGGTAAAATGAAGAACGGCAAACTCTAAACAAATTCCTTTTTTTGTAGGAAATACACGTGTAGGGGATATTTCCCCCAGAGATTGTGTGAAATTCCTCTGGATCTCCTAGTTTTGAGCAAGTGGGGCTTCCCATTTTTTCCAAAGTTGATTTCGAGACATCATATTGTAGCAGAAATAATATTTTTGGTGTCCCTAAAGAATCCAAAATTATGGCGTAAGATTTTTTATGTTATGAGATATTAGTGTAATGAGATATTAGTAAACTTTATCATCCCCAATATTTGAAACCAAAATTTTGGTGGATTGTGGGGTAATAGAAAAAAATTGTGTCACTAAAGACCCCAACATTAGTCCAAAATTATGGCGGAATAATTTTTGAGATTGAAATTTTTTTTTTCTAGTTAGTGATGAGTTTTGAAATTTTGAAAACTGGGCCATAGAAGCCCAAAACTCACTTGTTTTGACCGCAAAAAATTTAATTTTGTGGAAGTGCTAGCTTTACCACCCCTTTTTTTGAAACTTAAATTATAAGGGTTCGTGTTGAAGCAAAAAAAAAACAACAAAAAACAAACAAACATTTTTGATATAAGTGAAAAGCCCAAAATTATGGCGCAAAAAGTTGAGTTTTGAGAAATTAGGGCGGTTTTAATTTTTTTCTTAGCTATTGTCTCTGGGTCTCTCTTTCTCTGACTCTGTTTCTGTTTTGTCCCTCTATCTGCATCTCTGTCTTCGTCTGTCTCTCCCTGCATCTGTTTCTCTCGGGAGAAATCCCACAATCGCTGGAGGAGAAAACGCAATGAAGTTGTCTTAAAAATCGTACTTCTGTATTCAGCGGGTTGCGTCAAGCGCCGTTACGTAGAGAGCCCTGTTCAGTGCGCTTGATCCAGCGCATCATCATGAACGCGCGTCTATTTGCGCAGTCATATGCACATTCACATCACACTATGTCTATATTCTTCCCGGAAATGCAAGCAATAGTTTGACAAAGGTTTATCGCAATCAAATGAACGGTACGCCAGCGCATCAATTATGAACAAACAAATATCTATTATTATATATTTGATATTTTGTACTAAGTGTAGAGTCATACGAGGAAGCTGCGAAGCGTTGGAGGCACGCGTGCTGAGTGTGCGTTTGTGTTGGCGTGCGCAGGCGGCGTCGCGCCGCGATGCTGCGTCTGCTGGGGATGCGGCTGCTCACGCGGCTGCTGCTGCTCGTGTGCTCGCTCAGCCTGCTCAGCCTGCTCTTCCTCAGCCGCTGCGGCCTCAACCTCGAGACCGTGGTCATCGACCCGGGCACCGGTGAGTACACACCACCCGTGCAACGTAGTCCGGCTTCTTTGTGATTCTTCGCGAGGCGACGTGGACAGTTGTTTTCAAATAACAGTTATAACGGTTGAGAAATCTGTACAGGTTCGGTGAGTAATTTGTTGTCAGGTTCATGATTAGTGGTTTTTCGTTTGGAATATCTGCGTACTTGTAATTAAAGAAGATAAATGTGAATAATTTGTGAGAAGTAACAACTAGTAATAAATAGTGTTTGTTTGTTTCACTTGACCTACTGTGTTATATAAGAATAGATACTATTCAGTTAAATAACAATATATTTCTATAGATATAAGTTCTTGGCTGTATTTTGAAAAACGAAATCTTTCGGTATGATGTAGGCGGTGGATATTTACAGAATAGACAAAGTACAGATTTTTATGATGAAGAAAGCTCGACAATACATTCTGTGAAGTAAAAGAGAACAACTACCTTGGTAAGTGGCCCGGGGGTCTTCACAACCAGTACCATTCGCCAAGGAAACCACCTTCAGCCCTGCAGGTTGTAGGGATGTCAATTTCAAGATTGACTGCCTCTATAAGCTTTCAAACACTCTCACATTTCTTTACATCTTTTAAGCTTTGAAGTTAAACTAAGAGTGTTGGGAGGTGGGCCTCAGTTTGAAAACAATTCTGCCCCCCCTCCGGCCTGTTAATGCTCTTACTCACCTTTCTTCAAGCCTAAAGCTTTAAATCTTAATCGTGCTTGTATGTAGTCTGGTACTTCATAACTGGTTCCAAAGGTTTAGTTCTTTAAAAGTTGACCGTGCTTGAAGTTCAGCAATCTCTGAACATTAGGGAATTCGCTATTTGCGAGTTTCGAACATTCACGATTAGAAAAACGGCTCTGGTTGTAACTTACGCGAATTCAACATTCGCGTCAGCTCGGCTTTGGCCGTTCTATATTTTTGTTTGAAAGCGAGCATATTTTATTTTCATCAATGTCGTCATCTGGAAACCTAACTCTACAGACATCAGAGCTCAAAACATCACGTTCTACAAAATTATCAAGTAGGGTTTTCTATTCAAAGTAGTTAAATAACAATTGTATCGTAACTAAAGGGGAGCCAAATTGGAGCCGAGAGATATGACGACATAAAGAAAAAATATATTTAGAATCTTTGCAACTCATATGATACACACTTCTTTGAAGAGAAACCTCGGAAAATAATAAGCGAAGAAAACCTTCTTGAAAAGAAGGAATCTTCTTCCTCGAGCAACTTCAGTGTCGAAAGGGTTAGTAACATTTTAAAACGTGAACGAGCGCTGGGGAAAGAAGTGCGTCCTATCATAGAAACTTTGAAAGAGGGAAATATCAGAAGCAAATCTTCAATATGTGGATATATTTAAGACAATGCCCAATTTCTTTCAACATTGAAACAACTTTTAAATATTGTGTTTTATAACTTCTTTTGAAGATTTTATTTGTGAATTGAGTTTGTTACAGTGCTTAATCAAAACTATTGCAACTATTTATGAAGGCTTTTTTCATTTTTTAAACCATTTTTTGATATTCAGGAACCTAACTCGCCTTCTCCGTTTGATGACACACTCAACATTCTCGAATTTAACATTCGCAATGTTCTTTTAGTAACCTAATTTTTGAGAACGGCGAGGTATCGCTGTAATTTAAAACCTTGAACATTAAACAATTTTCAAAGTATATTTGTAAATAAATTAAATAGTTGAATATAATAAGTCACATCGTCCAGTAATATAGTTGAGAACGTAACATTTGAATGTTATCCGTTGTCAAGGAGCACAGTAATAACAGATTAGACGCTGAATTCCTAGTACAATTCAGTGTGGTACATGTAAACGAAGATATACATTAAACCCTAGTAAGCTTGCAAATTAATAGTAAATACATATCATTTGTCAATATAACTTAATATTGGAGGTAGAGGATATGTTGAAATGCAGACCAATCGTGTGTTGAAAAATGATCATCAATCCGCTGTTCTGTATTTTTTGAAATGCTTCTTGTCCATTATAATAATTGCTATTCTTCTATACGAATATCAAATGCTTAGATGGAATTGGATGATTAGAATTGGAATTAATCCATACTCAAATATATGACAATGTTGAATAAGGAAGAGGCACGTGCTTATTCTTCCGTTTCACTCCAGAACAGTAATGAAGGAGTCGTTGGTTGTACGTATGCAACAAAACTTGTAAATGGATGCGAACGCTAGTTGTTGAGAAGTAATACAAGTGGTGGGGAGAAGACACTTAATGTATCCACAATAATTTCTCTAGCTATGGAATGAGCATCTCTGCGGCAGAGAGTTTTTATAATGTAAGTTTACAATTTTACTGTTTTGCATAATATATTTATAAAACAAATACATGATTCTTGTAATCATTATATATAAAATATATATTTTTCATTTAGGTACTAACTAGTGACTCATTCATTGTAACTGCCTGCATATTCTTCAGCAAAATTGTCTTGACACTATGTATTTTACTGAAAACGATTGAAACAAAACCTAACTTCTGCACATTCATAAAGGAGATATTTAATCGTTTCTCTTATTTGCAATGTTGTTATAGTTAAATAAAGAATACCGCTTTAATAACAGACAAAGAAGCAAGAAATCACAGATTAAATCATTCAATTAGACAATGTAAATTTAATGTAACCTAACATTTCACAACGTTACAAAACTCAAAACTATTTTAATTCCAAAAAATCGATATTATATTAGCTAACGTTTCAGTTCTATTAAAGTGTGTGAACCCATCTTCACGTATAACAGACAATACCAAACGTGTAATAGAATACGTGTAATTTAATCAATAAAGCCATCACAATTCAAAGCGTTTAGTAGATACGTTTACATGGTGAATAAATTCAATTTTATTTATACTATTGCTAAAACGAATACTATTGTTCCGGAACGATAAAAATTACCTTTGTATATCTTTTAAATTTAAAATCGTTCATATCATTTGCTTTAATGCAAGTGAAATTTCATTCCCCTCATGAAAAACTGTTCTTATGAAAATGTGAAATATGCTTCTCCACAGGGATGCTTCTATAACAAGATATTAATTTATTTCACGAAAATTAAATTTTGAAGAATGTTAGGCTACCTGTGAACGTCAATATCACTCTAGATATTGCGCGCCTTTGATATATTCAAATCTCAGGAGTCTTTTCAGAAGTACCGCATTCCAGACTAGACCATCAGCATGAAGAACGATTTTCGTTTCTGCTGATTATCTACCAAGAGCCGCAAAGCTGCGTGCAAACGCTTACAGAGCAAGATTCACGGAAAATCCGTCAGAAATCGCGGTCGACGCCGCCAGCACCTGCTATCTCTCAAACGACGCCTCACTCAGGCGGGGGGGAGGGGCTATCTGCTTTAGGCGAAGGCGGGCGGCTCTGTATGTTGATGGAATGACTTCCACAAATTCTCGAGTCCTGATGGTGTGGCCCCGCCCCCTTCGAAGGACTCGACCGACCGTTCTCCTCTCCCACCGCCCCTCAGCGGCGACCTCGCTGACTCCGACATTGCGGCCTCTGGCCCCGCCCACCA